GTTCCAAAATGAAGGAAGAAAGAACGAAGGAAGGCAAAAGAGTCTGTCATGCACTCTATTGTGGTGGCTGATTTTCACATCCGCAGAGAAATATAAGGGAAATTCAGATGGTTTGTCAAGGGAAATATGATTGAATTATCTCTATAGCCCAGCTGAAAGGTGAAATGATGAGCAACCTGGAATTAAATTAAAAACCTAAACCCATTAAAGTATTTAGATTTCCCAGTCTAAGATAAAAGTGAAAACCTTTGAAATTAAGCAGTCTCCCTACCCTTATCTCAAGCTGAAGACGCTGCTGCTTTGGATAACACAAAGGAAGCCAGACTGGATTACTGCTCATCTGAACACTGGTTTTCAAATGCACCATATTTTCCTCAAGAAATGAACGTTATTCATTTCAGCTTATGCTGGATATCAAAGTAACTGTAGAAAAGGACACAAAATAAATTACCAGCCATCCTTTGATCCCAACACACTCCCACTGCTCCACTTCCCCACTCCAGAGAACAGTGAAATAGGACCATATCTCTTCCTTATTCTCAGCACAGTGCTGCGTACCCTGAGTCTTTCAAAGCTCATCCCTTTTCTGAACAATGTCTTTATTTGTAACTCAATCAATTTTAAACTCTGCGTAAGATTTTCTCAAATGCTTGTTTTCTCACATGACTCTTTCTTGCCTTCAAAGTGATTCTTCTTAAAATGCATTTCCTGAGTCCCACCTTGTCTGGCTTGAAGAGACAAAAAAATCTCTCTCTTTGAGGAATCCAAATCTGTTCATCTATCCCATCACAATGAAGTATATTGCTGTACAGAAGTATTCTGTTCCTATATGCAAGCAAGAAAACAAATGTTTTTCTGTTTAAATTGGTTTTCATGTTAGGGCAGTTACACTTGTGCTGCATGTGAAATGAATCCTTGCCTTCTTTCATAAAGGCAATACCATACACAGTCACTACTTGATGACATAAAATAGTGGAAAAACATATGATAAACTATGTGATATCCCAAATCATGAATAGAAAGGAATCAATATTGAATTCCTTAAATACAGTAATGATGAAAAAACATTCATGTATGACAAAGTGAGACCAATTCTCTGTATTTATTTGTTCATGTGATGCACCCACATCCTTTTCATTATGCCTGATTGCACTCTACGGGTACAAACACTTCAGGGCAGGCATTCTTTCTTTGAAACTTGCATGACATCAGAATAATAAAGCCTCAATCCCAGCAATGGTCAGAAGAAACAGCAGGGGTAGGAATATTTACTACTGCTAACAATGTTATGTTACTGAAAAAGAATGGTGTTTTTCAGTTGCATTTTGAATAAGAGGAAAATTGGAAGCAAGTTGCTTCATAGCCCTTGATCTCTTCTGTTTCTACATTGGAACCGAATGTGTCCTGGAGTAACCAAGCAATAGCAAACTTCCCTGACGTGAAACAACCAGAAGGAAGAGAAGGGAAGAAATACCTATTGCTGTCAGGCCTCTACAACCAGATTTTTGCAATAACATTTGCAAATCGCTTAGAAGATCTTCAGTGGAGGAAAGTTACTACTGTGCCTCTGTTGTACTCCTCGAGCACTCGTCTACATGCTAGATAGCAACTGAGACACCAATGGAAATTCCCTCAATAAACATTTTTTTAACATTAAACATAAAACCTTTGGAATGGTATTACTCCTTCCATCATCTAAATATTGTGCTGGTGTAGTTAAATTTCCCCCCTTGCCTTAGGTTTCGGTTCTCCAGAATTAAATATTCCATTTCAAATCCACGTTTGGTATTTCAGTGATTTACACCTCATCTAATTTTGCTAGACGTCAGATGCCCTTTTAATGAGTGCTTGGAGGGTTTCATTCCATTATAGTTCCAGAAAAGCTGATGCTGCATTTTCTTTCAAATTCAAAAATTTAGCTGGCTGACTTCCAACTTGCAATCAAATAATAATGAATTTTTAAAACTACTCCTTCCCAAGCAGATTCTCAAGAATAAAATTAAAAAATAGAAGAATAAATGTGCCAGATTTATGCGAGTCTTTATAAAAATTGTCCAGAAGAAAAAGTGCATTGCTGTAATTTCTCAAAAATAGAACAAGTAGCCTTTGGGATATTTCTTCCATCTAATCAACTGAGAATATGAACAGTTTCACATGTTCGGTGTTCCTGCTATGTTTAATAAATGAACTAAATGCGAGCACCGTCTGAAAAAGCATCTATTTAAAGCCTGCTGTACAGCTAACTCCCTGTTGCGCTGGGCAAGACGGAAGTGCAGAGGCAGAGCAGCAACCTACAGAGATAAGCATAGTTAAGAAATAACTGAAGATAAACTGTTTTTTTCTGAGAAACTATGACCAAGATGGAACAGTGGACAAGGCATCAAGCAACTGGAATCCTTGGTTCCCTTTCTCTTTCCTTTACTTTCTAAACCTTGAACAGCCTTTGTAATGTATCCACTCTTCCATCCATCTTCTCTCTTCTCTGACTATCCATTCTCACATCATATATGCAATTCCCCCTCTGCCCCCTGAGAAGAAAAGGTATGTCTCTGTGCAACTGTAAACAAAGTACAAAAACAACTTGTGTAAATTATCATGAACTATTTGGAGATCAGTGGATAGAGAATTTCCCAGTTAGTTTATACCACTTCACTTTAATCCATCAATTTGATTGTTTGCGAGAGTTGTTTCCATTTTACAAAGATGGCTTTCATAACCTAGAATATAATTCATCATCCTAGTGAAAAGTATATGACCATATGGTACATAGCTTGTGCGCGCTATTGATTAGGTGTTTCACTAGCAAGTTCCACTGACAGGACCTGCTGAGGTTGCCAGGTGCTCCTTGTGAAGGTTTTTGTAAATGCATTTACCACCCACAGTTTAAAACCAGTTATTTATTTGCTTGCTTAATACCATTTCCAATGGTCTATATCCAGTATTTCCAAACAGCTGATCTATTAGCTAAATATTTATAAATAAAATGAAAAAATGGCAGATTCTCCCAAGACAGTCAGCACTCCCCTTTCCTGCATATAAACAAAGTCCTGCCAACCCATGCGAGATGCTTCCCTGTCTGTTCTGGCAGTGAAAGGACACTGATGTCTCCTTGTTTCTTTGCATAAGTCTGTAGGATAGGTGACAGTTCAACTTTTACGCAGAAATAATTTTCATTTTCTGAAAGGATTTTGTCTTTGGGCGCAGTGATTCTCTTTCAGTTCCTTTTATTACCATAGAAATATAAAACTGAAAGTGAAGTCACCTAGCCCTTGCCTTCTCTTTTTTTAATCTAAAAGAATCCCAGTTCATAAAGGCTTTCTTCAGAGCCTGTGCTTTCTAGACCTCTGTTCGGTCCCTACCACCTCTCGCATCTTTGCTCCGAAAGCCATTTTCACAGCTTCACCATCTTACTAGAAAGGAGTTGATTTCAAAGTGAAATAAATTTTATTATTTAACTTCTCTTTCCCTCACTATTTTTTTTTTCAGTCCAATAGCAGCAAATCTGACTACAGTAAAGCTTTCCTAGTTACAGTGTTAAGCACGCTCCCCTTTTATGCATAGGCAAAATTTACTAGCACGTAGTTGAGTAACACATTTTAGCATTCATAAACACTGATTATTTCCTTCATGAATCACCTTGAACTGCATTTCTCATGATTTTAACATGCACTCCTTTGTTGTGGTCTGGAAATCCCTTGATATAAAGCACTTTGCAAAGTGATATTTCTGTGTTACCACATGCACTGAAGATGAAGAAAATGAGTAATATAATTTTTACCACAGAATAACTGAGGTAAATCTTTTCTTATGACTGGTTTAAGGGAGTAATGCACTAAATCAGTACATTTTTATTATTTTCATGACATTAATATGGTAATCAGCCCTGGAATCACCATAAACATCCTAAAACATAGGCACAAATTAGGACTTCATGATGGAATGTCATCATTTCTATGCAAATGATTCTCAGTTCTTCCTACTGTTTGCTTTTTTTCTTTTTTTTTTTTTCTTTCAATGTTACCTTGAGATGTTTTGAAAGGACACTTGTTAAAAATACATTTAATGATCACACAGAATTCTTGTTCTAGTGAGCATTTAAATCTACTGACCTGCAAACAAAGGGCTGGACTTGGTGTCACTGCCGTATCATTAAGCAGAAATAAAGTCAATAAATGTTGGTAAAGAACTGAACAAAAGTTATAATTTCCTCTCTTTAGATGAATTGCATTGTTCCTTTACTGTAGATCTTCCTAATACTGAAAAACAAACTATACAACTACTCATGGCAAGAGAATGTCACAAACTGCTTCAGAAATGTAATCCTGATTGAGGTCAGTAACATTCTGGCATTTTCTAACTCTGTTAGAATATCATTCCCAGAGTCCCTGGTCTTCTCAGTCATAAATGTTCTCTTCAAGAAAGGGATGTTTTAGCTGAAGGAAAAAAGTACAAGCATAGACATTGAGAACCCCTCGTGCTGCATCACAGCTGGAAAGAACACTAATAGCAGATTTTCCTGTTCATTTTCAAAAGTTAATGATGTTCTGTAATTATAAGCAGTGAAACTGGGGTACTATCTTCCCAAATGACAGTACTGCACCTCGTTCTTCTGGTTTTCATCTTGGGATCTCAGTTCCTCAATACATCAGCCTGGTAATTGCACACGGAGCTAAAGTCTGTCTCAGATTCAGTACTGATGCTGGCAATTAGCATCTAGTCAGAGAATATAGGATTCACTTTAACTTCTCCTGGGTATTTGTTGAAAGAAAAGAAAAGAAAACATAAGTGGAACAACAGATAAGTAAAACACCTGGGCATAACAAGTCTGAGGGGACAAATGCCATTTCTAGAAATGGTTCTTCCACAGAGCAGCACATATTCAAGACCATGCAGAACTCCACACCATCAGCAAACTCTTCTCATTCTTTTGTTTGCTGCAATAATTTTGTCTCAAAGGCTTTGAAAGATTTTCATCTTCATTTTTAATCAAAAGAGCATCACAGTGTATTTCATAAATAGCAGAAACAATATTTTCCATAATCACTGTGGAAAGTTACCATGTCACTCTTCTTCAAAGTCACCTTTTAAACAGAAAACAGTTTATTGAGCTACTTTGTCCCTTAAATTAGCTTAAAAAGAAAAATGGGTAGCAATTCCTATAGAGAAAGTAACAGAAACTCCCCATGATTATTTTATTGCACTTTACAAAAATGCCAAAGGTTTTTGTGCTGTACAGTGTGAAAAATACCACATTTTCAAATGAAAAAAAAAAGCCACTCTGAAGAATCCTTCTAATTAAGTTACTCCTGGAAGTCTGAATAATTTTGCTGTTTGTACAGCAGGCTTTCAACACTGGGAGGTCTGTTCATTACCCTTAGATTAAAAGGTGTGAATTTGTTATGAACTTCTTCCTGATGGAAGAAGAAAAACTAGCAAGGTGGGATATTAAAAATGCAAACAGCTGGTTTTACAATGGAAACTGAATCTTCTGGAGGGTTTTTTTTCTATTCCAGACTGATTTTCTTCTGTTTCCAAGAAAGCTGTCTTACAGAATTAGAACTGTGGTATCTAACACAACAGTGCATTAGGTAGGGGTATTGAACATGGGTACCTGCTTTCTTTGGGTTTGCAACCAACACTGAGCTTTAAGTAATAGCAGAAAATACCCACTTTCAGTGCAGTTTTCAAGTAACAAAGTACTGGTATAGCTGAACTTTTCCTTTCTAAACACTGGAGAATAAACATGCAGCACAAAGATCTTTGCAGTCACAATCATAGAGGAAAGCTGACACTTATCTCTTCCTGATTCACTGAACCCGTATGCCTGCATCTGTTGTGTCAGCATTTTCAGAAGCAGTAGCATGGAATAACACCTGGCTTGATCACGTGGTTCAGAATTACACTGCAAGGAGAAAAACAACACAAAAAAACCTAAAAAACACGTGTAATTGAGAAGATGATTGATCTATCTTCAGAAAGCAAAGTGCTACGACCATTCAGTTACTCAGAATCCTAAAGACTGCCCATCACAACATGTAGCCTTGTTTGGTAAAGATACCAAACTCCCATTTCAGCACTGGCCAAACTCCTTTCCTAGATACAAAAAGTCACACGTTTTCTGTGTTATTGGGAAATAACCCAAGAGAGATTATAAACAACGTAATCTAAGAAGTTGGCTTTATGCCTTTGCAAAGGCTTTGATAGGTCCTGTTGGCTCGTGCAGATGTTTTGAGAATAGTTACACATATTTTACTGGTAGCGATGTTTTTCCATTGTTCTGAAATCCCAGCATGGGACCGTTAAAGCAAATGTCCCTTTGAAGGCATAAAACCGAGCAGAGCAAGCAGAAATTGGGTACAAGAGATGGGAAGATGACGAACTGCAATCCCAACCTCTGAGCATGATCGGAGAGGGAGACCTGCACTCGGGGGTTTTAGTATCTTCTTCAGCACAGCATTTTACTTAAACTGCCTAACACAAGAAATCACTCTTTTGAACAACTGTTAAGTCACCTGCTTAAAATCTCATATGCCTTTGCAGAGAGAAACAAACAGTAAGATAAAGAACCCAGAAGACTGGAGTTCTGGAAAGGAATGTGTGCACACGGTATGGATATCTCATTGATGAAGACAACTGACTTGGGTCTGAGAGAAAAGTGGCATTTTCTGGATTTTAGACCCAGAAAATCCCATTACAGTTCAGATGACTAAGGCTCCAATTCCGAGAAAAGGATATTTAAATGAAACCCAAACCAGCTCTATAAGAAGATACTTAAATTGCTACTTATTATGCAAAAACTTAGCAATTTGTTAAACCTGTATCCAATTAAAATGAAATAAATATCAGAATGCATTTAAATGCTTTTCTAAATTGGAACTTTAAAACCTTTTCCTGGAAGTTGATAAGGAATATCTACAGCAGTTGAGACTTACTGCAGCCTTTTCCATATTTCACTACAGTCACGCTTTTACACAGTCACTAGAAACTCGTAATGCAGACTTTGTCTACTTTCAAAAATTAATGCTCTCTGTGGGAGCTTTGTTAATAGTCAGAACTTAATTGCTTTACAATGCTCTCCAATCAAGACCATTTCTAGCAACTCACTGGATTATAGTACTAACAAACTGTTCACCCCAGCAGTGAAAGTGATTGCCCAAAACTGTTACACAGAGATAGGCAGGGTTTCCCCCCAACAGTCTAAACTGAGGAGTTTGTTTGTGCTTCTACTGCACATCACTACTCTGCATAGAAAAATTAAAGTAAATCAATATTTCTACTTCTTTGGATTTCTGAGTTTAACCACTGCTTCACTTTACTTGCCCTTGTCAGATTCGTTCTGCTCAGCAGTTGACAGAAGACACAGTTCTGACTCATTTGAAGGGGACGTTTTTAACCTTCTGAATGAACAAAAACAAACTAGACCTTTTTCTTTCTTTCTGTGAACTTTTGAAATCAGTCTGTCCTGGGTTTTGCATAGTGGAATGCTTGAAAAATCTGACCTACATCTAACCACAGCGACTAAGAATCTTTTATTGACTTCAGTCAGTGGCCTTTGAATCAGGGTCTACAAGAAACTGTGGCTTTGTGTTTTAAGACAAATAAGAAAACAGAATTTAAAGGGACACATTGTTTCAAACAGACTCTTTCAATTCCTTAGCAACAATTTAAGAAGTCACAAGGGAAATGAGTTTTTATGGTCTCATCATTTCTTTGATGTAAAAGTGCACACTCCATCTTTCTGGCATTTCATTCAACAGCTTCACATGAGAAAAAAAGGAGCCCCACTGTGCATAAAGAGAATAAAATATGTTCAAGAAGAAACAGGAAAAGAGATTCAGGTTAATACGAAGGTCAACCTCTTTCTGTGTTTCAAATCTGCACTTTGCTGAGATCTTAAAGAGGAGTAGAAAAAGCTTTAATCTTCAGTGCTGTCATCCTTGTGCTGGAGAACTAAAATCCAAACAGAAATGCTTTGGCTGATGTTAGCATTGTGAATTGCTGTTAAATCTTATATCTCCCCCTGAAATACTGGACCCGACGTGACACTCTTCATATTAAATAAAACTAATGCCTCATGAAGGCTATCAGTGATCTCAAAATGCCAGAATCTGCCAGTCACTTTTCTTTCCTCCTCCCCTCATCCTATGCAACGATGCAGTGGGAGGCCTCAAGTAGCCCCAGTCCCTGCACAAAACTTATGGTCCAGGATGGAGGAGCCAGCCCACCTCCCTGCCTTCCTTTGCATTTCTGAACCAAATCCCAGGAACTGGTCATAATCTGATGCCATTCCACAAGCACAAACAGAGTTTTCAGGATCCTTCCCCTCCCAGGTGTGCTCTGGCTGCTTTGCTCTGCCTGGAGGCTGCAGGCTGTCCCACAGATGGGCCATAGATAGCAGTTTGAGCTGAAGGTCTCTCCAAGAACACAGTGCAATGGCAGCCCAAGCTTCATCCCTGCAGAAGGAGAAGGAAGCATGGCTCTGCCCACCGGAGAAGAAATAGGCTGAACCATGAGGTTTTCAGGTACAGTGAGGCTGAGGATGGGCAACGGAGAGAAAAGCACCTTCCCTGGCTCTGCCTAAGAGGCAGGGCTGGGAACTCCCCCATCTGAGGTAACGTGGAGAAGTGCAGAAGACCCTCTCCAAATGCAGGCATTTGATTTTCAGGATCATCTCCTTGTAGTGTTGTGTGTGCATTTTTGTACTGTGCTTGTGTTTTTGGTGTGTTTCATTTTTCTTCTTTTTTAATTCTTTTTCTCTTCTTACAAAAGAGCCAACCAAGCATGAGAAGGTACTACTGAGAGCATGGGAGCTGACAGGTCTGCCACAGAAATACTTCATCAGCTACTTTGAGATTAAGCTTAAAATGTTTTTTTAATGCCAATATTTTATTCATCCACACAATTACCTCTTCCTTGCAGGAGAACTGCTGGACAATTACAGTGCCTACTATTTATAGCCTATCAAAGCTGGAAGTCAGTTCTCTCGATCACGTAGTGTGGGGCTCATTTCACCAGCAGTGGTTGAAGGAGTGAGAAAGAGTCTCCTCTGCCTGGCTGTGTTCTTTTCCACCTTAAAAGTGAAGAATTAATATTAAAAAAAAAAAAAAAAAAAAAAAAAAAGACACAGCTATCTAACTAGTATCATACTATGTGGGCTGCATTATATTAAACAAACAAAAAAAATCAGGAATGAATTTATATTTGTAGCTAGACAAGCACAAGGAAAAGGGTTTTCACACAAACATAAGAATTTCCCTAATATTTAAAACTCTTCCCTGAATTATATTTTTCCATTACACTTTCCCAAAAGGACAAAATGATCTCTTTTTTTTTTTTTTTTTAATTACTAGGGGTGAGAGAAGAAGAGTCCACGATTAAGATTTATTTATTTTTATTTAACTGCTAAGGAAAGCACACCGTAGGGCAACCACAGGAAGGAGAAAGTCCAAATTCATACAGTGCTTCTATCTCCCAACTCATGGGAGTAGCAGCGTCAGCTCTTAGCGATGGAGCAGAAACCACTTAAAATGGATCTGGAAAGGTGGTGAGAACTGTGGCTGCTTCCATCCATAACTGTCACCCCAAACAACCCATCATAGTTAAGTGATAAATACGACAGTGAACATCACTATCTGAAAGCTGAATGTCAAATGAATAGGAATGAGAGCACGCTGCCATTCAGTTTTGAAATCCTTGCTTCAAGAGCAGCAGCTGCTATCTGCTTTGCCTTTTGTTCAGGCAAAAGAAACGAGACTTATTCTTACTCTGCTGCAGATGTAAAATGTGTTTCATTTAGCATGCCTAAAACCAACAGCTCTCTGTGTGAGCACAGAGCTCAGTGCCATATCACACAAGTCTTGAGTACCTTTGAAATTTTCTTTCACTTCAGTTTCCCTAGTTGAAAATAGGGGTGTTTAGCTGTGAGAATTCACCAGTTCAGGTGTCTGACGGGAAGAGGTTTGGCACCATCCTGGCAGGAAGATTGGGTGAATGCACTACCAGCTGCAGTGATTTATGGAGGGGACGAAGGAATAAGCAAAGCCACAGGTAGAGATGAACAGCAGCATGAGATTACAGCATCGGGAAGAAATCTGTTTAGAATAGAAAACAAGGAATAAATATTTTTCTCTCCACTATGAACAACCTTTACATTTCAATCTTCTGGCTTAGTGCCTTTAGCTATCATTTGAGACTCCTTGTTCTGCTGAATATTTTTGCATCATAATTCTGCAGTCTAATGTCTTTTCAGAATAAATTTTAAGTTCTTCTTCATCCTTTCATCCTTTAGTAACAAGCGTAGACACAAACATACCTGTTCTGCTTCTCCCTCCTCTGTAGCTTAAGTGCAATTTACACTTTTGTTTGTTCAGCCACCAGCCCCTCCAGCATATGTAAATGATGCAGCTGACTGGATGCATTGTGAAGAACTTCAAAACTATTTCTGAGCAGAATATTGACTCAATGATTAGAGGAAAGCTTTCTAATATTTGTATACAAAACATTTTCACATGAAGGTGGCACGCTTAAGCTTTGAAGAGATGATAATCATGTATTATATCCCTCTAGTTAAAAAATTCATGGTTGCTCTATGGAAATATCAGGAACTCGTGTTTCTCTGCGGCTGTGTTACATCTTTAATTAAATGCGTCGTACGAGGGTGCACAGGGCTATGAAGCATTTGGCCTCTATAATGCAGGCAGTACCCTGCAAACCGTGGCCACGCAGCCTGATGTGAGTAATGGACTCGTAAGTAGCTGCAGGATCTGCTGCCTCATCCCAGGAATTGCACCACATTGATTGCCTGCCCACGAACCTGTCTCCTCTGCCCTTCAACCCACCTCCACAGTGGCTGCTCTCATGAAGTATATATCCAAGGGAGAGGACCTAAAGAGCAGGCTGATACTGCAAAGCCACATCAGTACACAAATTCCTGCTGCCTCTTCTGCGTATTGGTGTTGTTTTTTATCCGCTAAAGAAAAATGGTTTTCAAGATCGTTGTTTTCCACACTCTCACTCCCTTCTGCCTTTGGTAATTGGAGGGAAGGTAGAGATGCATTAGGCATCCTGACAGTTTCTTACTCTGCTGCAGAGAGAATGTCTCATGGAGATTTTTTACATAGATTCCTGGCCAAGTTTCAGAGAAGGTCATTGCAAACTATCTCTTTTTATTACATCACTACCAACTGTGCTGGTTTTGGCTTTGAGACCCACTAGAGGAAGGCAATAGCATGCCAAGTGTTGGGCAAGGTATGTTTGTGCAGAGATTATGCTTATCCAACAACATAGGGAGTTGCCAGAATTCCTTCTTTGTGAAAATATAGAAGATATCCTACCAGTGAATGGCTACACTCAACAAAGCAGCAGCCACAGACAAAAATTCCTGAAATGTCCCATTTATAGCACATGGCCATAAATCTAGACATTTCTGCAAAGCAGGTAACAGTGTGTTTGATGCTGGGTAAGAAGAGACATTGTTGAGAACCTATATATGAGCTCCTAATACATAAACTGTAATTTTACGCTGCTTGAATAATGTTGATAAAAGCTAGAGATATAGCTGACAAGAAGATAGAAAACCACCGCCTTAAAAATGAAATTGATACTGAACCAAAGAACAACAGCACTCAAATAATAATGCTACAGTGTATCACCCTGTTAGAATTCTGTGCAAAACACTGACTAGATTGTTTAGGAATAGATGTCATATTTTAGATAGAAATATTTATTCCGGGAAAAAAAAATTAACCAGCTGCCAAACCCCTGACTGTCAATCAAACTGCTATAGAACGAGATAGATACAACCATCAAACAGCAAGGTGGCCTATAAAATACAATAGAAGACAGAAGAAGAAAATTTACCTTCCCTGCTCAGGGAAATAGGAGAAGTGCAGAAACATTGGCTGCCATGAACACTTACCTTCCTCCAGTCATTTTGCTTTTCCTGTTATCCCCTACCCACTTCCATTCAGCAGCACTTGGCAGTATGCTGGCCACATTCTTCCTCAGGAGTATGCATGGGCTGCCTGCAGAAGTATGGGAGACAGAGGTGAGGTCAAGGGAGGAAAGGAGATGAGAGGCTCTGGCTCTGATATCTCCCTCTGATGCTTGCAAGGCTTGGGAGAAGTTTAGAGAGCAAGGGCAGGACATGGACTGATGCTGTTTCAGGGCCCAAAGAGAAAACAGACTGAAGGCAGGATAAGAGTTAATGTGTCCATCCAGAATCAGGTCCATTTAAACTTTCAATTGCCTGTGTCTTTTTCCTACGCTTACATGGAGGTTCTTTTGTGTCACCGCATCCCCCTCCCTTGATCCTTGTTTTTCTCTAAGGCATTATCTGGTTTTAAATTATGTAACAATAATGCTGTCTTTGAAACAGTAATGTAATTGAATGATATGCTACATCCTTTCATTTGTGCTTAACCTTTAAAGGACACATTTATATAAAATATCCAGCAGTGCCCTCCTTTTTACTCCCTGGCTAAATGCACCTGTAAGACTCTATTTACTTACCGTAATAGTGCAGGAATGCAAAATTTAATAATGCCCAATTTTTTATAAATACACATCTTTCAGCTGAAAATGCAATGCTGATTTATGGGATAATTCCTAAGGCTAAATGACTTTCGAGGCTGATCAGACAAAAAGACTGAAACATTTGACTTACATTACAGTGCAGAGGCTTTGGTACTCTACTATCAGCAGTGAAGTAATTCATGAGTTTGTGAAGCAGAAGGACTTCGTGGACGTAAGGAAAGCCTCTCTTACTTATGGCTGTTTTAGGCGTTTCTGTGCTCCCTTCCAGTTCATGCCAAACATGATGCTCTGAGATTCGGGCAGAACGGGCACCCAGGCAGCAGCAGTGAGCACAGCCTTCCTCCTGATACACACTGCTCAATGTTTCCAAACCCTGTGCAATCTGCTGGTGTTGTTGCTGTATATCAGCAGTTCAAATATTCGGTATTTTAAGTAAATAGAGGACCTCAAAGCTGCCAGCCTGATAAATATCAGAGGATTGAGTTTGCTAAGGAAACTGAAGTAGTTCCAAACTAATTTGGTGCATTAAATCTGCATTTGGGAGAAGGAAAAACCCCTTCATTTTAGTGTTCAAGCTCAGTGCAATTTTCGTGTGCATTCTATTGTGTTCCTAACTATATAACAGGCAAATAATGCTTATCTTTGGGCAGATGGATACATCACTAAAAATGACAAGCCCATTAGATCAACAAGGGCTACATAATTATCATGGGGAAATAAAGCCAATAAATCTATCTGGTATAAATTATGGGCTTATGAAGTCATACATAATGAAATAAATATTTAATTTTTCTAAAATCCAAAGCCTTCCTTCGGAAACAGGAATATTAAAAATTCATTTCCATTTCTTACGTCGGGAGCAGTGCGGTTGAGTGGTTTCAGCACAGGCGTGCACTCCCAGGCACTTCTCAATCCTGTTCCTGGTTCTGCCATTGATTCACACTGTGGTCTGAGCCAGTTTCCACCTCTTTGTACTCCTCTCTGCCCATCTGTAAAGCTGAGATAATGCTCACCTGCTCCATAGAACCATTAGGAGAATTAAGAAACATCTGCTGTGCATCTTGAAGACATGAAATACCCTCAGAACGCAAAACAGCATTATTTGAGAGATGGATAAAACCTTCCAGGGTTTGGAGATTTTCACTTTGTCACCAAACCTCTCACTACCTGGCAGGATTGATTTCCACTTCACTAATTCAGTCAGCTCTCTCTTTCTATGATACTTATTATTTCACTCTGCTTTGCTAAGTCTGTCACCATTAAAAGAGATCTGTTTACTGTAAGTCAGCTCTTCCAAAAAATAATTGGCAGCAAGTTCCTGCTGGAGACACAGCAAAGGGAACATCATCCTCTGCAAAAGATTCACCCGCTGCCAACGCAGGTCCTGCTCTGAGAGCAAAGATGCGCACTGTCTGCTCCATAATTATGGAGAAAAGGTGAAGGAAAAGGGCTGTTTGGGGATGTAAAATTATAAAATGGAAGCACAAGCAAAGAGGAAAACAAAAGTTTAGTAATTAGAACTTTTGCTACGTGCTGAAATAGAAACAACTTCTCTACAAGGAATGAAGAGAATATTTATTTTCATCTAATATTTTGTAAACTGTGTGGAACAGTCTATGGCAACTCCATCAATAAGATTGCAATACTCGTATTTCAAAACTGAAGTAAAATAGTTTTCCTTCTTGATCAGTAATATTGTATGTCATTCTGCTGTAGCCATATTGTATCTATCCATTCTATGCAGCATATTTCCAAGATTATTTGATTTCTTTGCCTGTCCTCTTCAAATTTTATCATATATATATATATATACACACATCTAACTTCAGTATTTATTGACTTTTCTAAAGTCAATACAAAATGAACCTGGTGATACCATTCTTTTAGTATATTTTGTTTAGCTTCATTGTTACTCTCTCAACTAAATTTTTTTCGTACACTTAAAACTCAAGTTTTTTGAAAGGTAGGAAAGGTAGAAAGGGTCGCAGTGGTAGAAAGGTAGGAAACTGTGTTAGTTTTAAAAGTATTTGGGAAAAATAAAAGGAAAAAAAAAAAAAACTATCAACAAGCAAAACCCAAAATGAAAAAAAAAAAAAAGGTATATAACACTTCCCAATTAACACAGAAGGCAGATGAGTCACACCATCCAGTTTTGCCAAAGGTGGTTTAGAGTTGGTGTTCTGTGTTCTGCAATGCTTGGCTGGAATTAACAATGACCTGCACGATTAACTGAGAAATCTGACCTGAAAAGCAGCAAGGCTTTAATTGCTGTTAAGGAATCCACTTTGGCCTTGAAGCCTTTATTCTGTTCCACATAAACTCTTGTTCTCTGCCATCAATCTGTCTCTCTGTAATCCCAGAGATTAGAAGGGCAGGAAGAGTCATTCTCATACCTCATCCTTCAGACAGATCTGTTGGATATCCTTGAGGCAAGTTTCACTGGATCAAACTTTGGCTGAGCTGAGTTCCTTCTTGTAGGAAGTCAATGGCCTTGACTTAATGGCTTTAAGTACCCATTCTGCTTTTGGCCACTTAACTGTCCAATTCGTTTCTTGTTTTTAGGCATAGAGCAGGCTTTGTGTGAGAGGGAAAGAAGCTGTACCCCACTGGAAAGGACAAAGTATTTCCAGGCTGAGCGTATCACTTAGTTTTATATTAAAGAAGAGTGAACCAATTCAACCTCTAAATCAATGGCAGATTTTCCAAACCTTGAGTAATGTTTGCAGCCCTGCAGTGAACTCGCACCATTACGCCGGCTTTCTCTCAAAAAAATCCTGTTATAAATGCCTTGAATCATTTCACAGTGCTCTCATCCAGAAGATGAACATTTCTAGAAAATAATTTGTCCCTGCCATATCTGTAGGTATGTAAATCCATGCTCACAGGAAAAAGATCAACTGACAGTACCTGAAAAAATCAGTTTACTGTACAGACAGCAAACTACTTCCACGTACATCACATGCAGCACTATCTGCAGCAAGCATGGCAAATTGCTGCAAACACACAGGCTCAGCATCTACAGCTGTAACCACGACAACTGCCCTGCAACGACACAGGCTAGGAAAAGATCTCCAAAATACTTGTGTCTGCTGCAGCACGATCTCGTCTTTCTGAGGCAATTCCAAGCATTTCACAAACAAAACGTCAGAATTCATCTGCCTGAGGCACTGTCACAGATGTTATGCTGTGGATTCGGAGGGAGGGCTGTGCTGTCAGAGCCACAGGAGCCCAGCATTGAACACTGCACAGTGTTGCTGGCTGAATAAGATCCTGAGCTGGCTGGAGCTCAGCAGCCTCTAGGAGGGATGGGGACAGCCTGCTTGAGCACAACAGTGTGGGCTGCAAAAGTTAAGGGCAAGGATACCAAGCACTACAACAGTGCTTTGATTCTAAACACTGAAGAACTTGTATGTTAGTGTAATTGCCATATCAATAGCTCTTTGTATTTTACCCATCCACAATACCAAATAGTGCCCTAAATATGTCATCATCTCTAAGATGTCTAGGTGCCCCAGTTTACCCCATGAACAGCTATGCAATCATAATATGTTTTTGAAATCATTCACAGAACAATAAGTTCTGAGTTCCTCAGTTGGTTGGTTTTCATTTAAAAACTAACAAACACAAAAGCTAAAATCTAGTTCCTGTTAAAGAAAGAAAAAATGACAAAAACACTTTCATATCCCAGAACAAATGTCTTCAACTGTGTCAAAGCCCAGAGAAGCTGGAGTTCATATGGCAGCCATTCCCAAATGCACCATGAATGCTACCCACAGAACAAGCTTTAGATAAAATTTGCCATTTCCTTTTGCTACGTTCTTTGGGAGTATTTCCATTCTGCCTTGAGCATAGATCTCAACACAAAGGGCTGCAATATGCAGCTCCAATTCATGACAGAGTGCCTATGCCATGAAAAATCTCAGCACCTTCAATGAGATATTGGTACATCTAAGGCTTACTAATATGAGCAGGAGTTGATGACTAACATGAAAATCTGCTTCAAAAATACCACTGCTAGAGCTGACATATTATTATAGACAGTCTATTGTACTTGCAAAAGACAAGTAAAGAGCTCTTGGTTGAGAATACATGTCAGAAAAATGACGTGTTTTCATCACTTCCAGCCCTAGTTAAAAAAACTCTGAATACATTAACCAGCTGAAGGAAAAATACTTTCAGCTTTTGTATCACAGTGGGAATCTGTAAATCTGCTACAGTGTAACAGACAATTAGTTTGAATTCAACCATTTATCATTTCCAAAAAGTTATTATTATTATTATTATTTAATCATACATATACAAATAGAGGATTTTTCACTGAGTTCCCCATGCTCCACTTTTGGGGATCCAGCAAACAGAGGGTGTTTTGGGTGGCAGGACCAGTTCAGTCATTGCAGCTAATTCATTATCTAATACAAAGCTTCAGCTTGTTATTTCATCCCAACTACATGCCCCTGTATGCTAATTCAAAATGATCCAAACCATGTGATGAAAATCTGGTAACTATTTCAGCATGCCACCTGCATGGGACCCCATGCTTTGCTTTCAGTAACTTCCTATCAGAAGTGGATATTCTGTTTTGTTTCCTAGACCAGACTTGCTATTTCCTTTATCCAGAAGGCTTCAGCTATGCTCTGGGGACTGAATTCCATGCATCTGTAGGGATGGCTGTGTCTCTAGGAATGCCTGGCACCGCTTCTGAAATGTGTTGCTTTTGTTGGCACCAGTAAGTATCTGAGCGTACTTGTTTTGGCTGAAGTTTTCCTTTTGTAATCTAATACTGACCCAGAATCATCCCTTCATGAAAATGAGTGGATGGAAAGCACAGGTCCTTCTCTGTGATTCTGCTTTTCTTAAGCTAAGCTGGACATCCTTTCCAAATTCAGTCCAACAGAACGAGTCCATTTTGTATTTTTTTGCGACTGATTATTTGCAGGAAGCAAATAAAAAGGAAAAAGGATAAAAGGAGGGATGTGGCCATGGATACACCACACAGGCTTCCATCAGAGACACATCTACAGCCAGGAGCATTACTGAAGTGGCTAAAAGGAAGCACCAAGGGGATTCATGCTTTGAAAAGTCTGAAAATGCAACTATGCATATCATCTCGACAATATTATTTTTATGTATTTATTCCTATACATAGCCCAGAACACTTAGGAGGCAGCAGCAGGTCAGTGGTGACACAATAGTTATCACTATATATCATTTGTGCATATTGTATCATTGTATCATTGTATTGTATCATTGTATGTATGTATCATTGTATCATTGTATCATTGTATTGATGCATTGTATCATAAGTGTTCAGGGCAGACAGGAAAAAATGCTTTCCCAGAAAGTACATGTTATAAGGATGTTTAATTAATCTAATGGCTTAGTGGGTGCCATTAAGCACCTCTTTAGGTTAATTTCATTCTCAGCAGGCAGGTGGATAAATAGGAAGTGATTTTACTCCTTCTGCCAGACAAAGCATCGTTTCATTAGACCAGAAGGGATTGGGCTTTTTCAGACCTTGCATTTATCTGACTGCTCTGTGAAGAGACAAACCCTCACCCTGTTTCAAGCCTTACAATAGCAGGGAGCCCACTGCTGGAAAGCCCCTCTAGGTAACAGCTTACATCTCCACTGCTCTCTTACTCACACACTAAGAAATGTGGGACTTTAAGGGCAAGCTTGAAGCTGGACAGCAATGTCTGTTTCTGAAGTAGAATCACACTTGTGACTACACTGCTGCTCTCAGCCCCAGACAGATCAGCTCATTCTCATTTAGAATCACAGAATCATAGAATTCCTTGAGCTGGTAGAGACCCATAAAGGCCATCTGGTCCAACTCCCTGCAGAGAACAGGGACAGCCTCAACTCTGTCAGGTGCTCAGAGCCCACACCAGTCAAAGCAACCTGATCCAACTGTAGATTTAACTCCACTGCACACACAATAAACCACAAGATAAACCGAGGATTCGCCCAAACACTGCAATCTCAATGAAGAGAACGACTTACTGCTATCAACGCCAGTTGTCTCTGGCAAGAACCACCCACGTACGAAACACAAAGATGCATCTAGAGTAAACTGCAGCAGATAAGCTCTCAGCATTTTCTAAGCAAGCATGATAGATTTCTCAAGGTCAAAATTGTATCTTTTATTAAATGCTACAGACATCTCTTTACTAAACATTTTCCAAATATTACTCAAACTAAAACATCTCTTGCTTTCCCTACAGTTCACCTTTTTAACAAGAACACCTCTTTATATGACCTTGCATAGGCTGAGACAATTAAACAAACACCTTAAAGGACTCAGAAATTGATTTTGACAGAAGTAAAATCCAGCACTGAAAATGCAAAGAAAACGCTGTGGTTTAACTACCTCACCATACATTACACACGAAGTGACAAAAATATCTCCAGGGCTTTGCATTTATGCACTGGAGTTCAGATAC